ATCACAAACTCACACACATCACAATTTTGATACAAAGGGTTAATGTTAAGCTTGGATTTTTTTTCCTTAAACAGAATTTTATATCTGGGAGTTTTTTATCTTAGTTTTTAGGGATGTAGAAAAAATAAATGTAGAGGATGTTAATGGAAATGGAAGTGGTTCAAGAATATTTTTTATGACATTCGTTTTATTTTAATATTCATTTTTAGTTTTATTAAATACTATATGTTTTCATTATGATTCCATGCCACTACAGAGGTAGATGTGCTCCTTAGTCAATTTTATATGGGTATAACACCATCTTATTTTAAATCCATTTTTTCTATACACCTTTTTATGGTATAGCTGCTTATTTGGTATATATGTCAGAGTTTATCAGTATATCCTATTTTTTAAATAACTCATGTATTTTTTTTTAATTTGTGACAAATTCATGTCGCATTTTGAGACCGATCAGGTATAAAAAAAAAGCATATCTTGAGAGTTTTCTTATGGATAGAACAACCATTTGATCTATTCCTGGTGAGTGTAATGTTTTTTTAATTAATTATATATGTGTTTAACTTCATAAGGTGGCTTGTATGAAACGGTGACCAAAAGCTTATTTAAATTTTTGCAAATCTAATATATGTTTTGTGATTCTTCTCTATTTTTTTTTTTTTTTTTTTTTGACAAAGATGAGACTTTTTTTGGTTTTGTAGTTGGTGATTGATGTTTGTACCTTAGAGATATAATCTTAAAAAATGAAATATAAATTAGAGTTCCATGTAGGAGTGTTAGAGGTAATAGTGATGACATAATTAAATATCATCAAAGGCCCAGGACGAACAAGGAAAAAAAAGGTCTTTGTCGTTACTATAAGTTGTTATTTTTTAATAAAAATATATAATAAAAAAAGGCCCTATGCAGCTGCCCATTTACCCCCCCCCCCCCCCCCCACGCCCCTTATACATGTAGTCTTCATTAAATCTATTATGACATCGTGGTTCATATGAAGGCCTGGAATAACAATTTATAATATGCGAATCATAATATCAACTTCTGAAATTAGTTTTAAAACTTAAGTTAATAATTGGTGTTTTTAGCACTTTTTTAGGATGATATGTATTTGTTCTTTTTCTTAGAAGTTTTGATTTGTCTAAAACACATTCTTATTGGATGTGTATGTATGAATGTTTGTTGTTGAATTTCTAACACATCTGCTTATTGGTTTTCTTAGATTTTGTGTGTTTTTATTTTATGATTGCGATTTGGGTTTTTATTTCTTGAAACATGGCAATAATGGTGATATATTATGATACTTATGGAGAGGATATGGTGGAATGAAATTTCATGTGACTTTGTGCTTAAAAGGAAGTACCTGGTACTAAAACTTTTAATCTTTTTAGGCTAAAAAGGAGTTGTAGCAAAACTCAATTTGCAGTAAAGTTGTTGCTAGAAACAAGGCTGCTAAAGGGAAGGCTAAGGGGTTGTAGCAATAACTCATGGGGGAGGATTCTGATAGCTACCCTTGGTAGTTAGCCTCTGTTCTAACTACAATATGTTAAGTAAGTTGTGCAATATGTTTATCTCTCAAATGATGTAAATATTTTCCATAATTCACATTTTTTTACCTTCAAATGATGTAATAAGTTGTTGGTAGGTGTTTGTTGTAATTACCATATGTTTTTCAATTGGATATGGAAGTTTCTGTAATTTTCTTTAAATTCTTATAATTTGTATTGTTATTATAATTGAGAGGTCGTTGATAGAAGGCCAATTATGAAACTTGGAGGAAAGAAGTGAGCTTCCTTTTATTTTATAGAGTAAAGAATCATTCTTCTTAGAGAAAATTGCGAAAATGGTCTTTGTGATTTCTCATTTTATGTGGCTAAAGTCCAAACATTTGAAAAGTTGTAGATTTGGTCATTTTCAACAAGTTTTGTTGTGGTTTTGGTCTCTTACGATTAATTTTAACAACTTGGCTATTAACTTTTTTTAAATGACTATTTTAACCTCAGAGACCATTTCTGCAACCAAATTATAAGGATCATTTCTACACATCTTCTTTTTATTTATATTGAATTATTATCTATTAATAAATGTTCTTTATATATATATATATATATATATATATATATATATATATATATATATATATATATATATATATATATATTAATAAATATTGTTTTGTTAGATTATTAATTCTTTTAATTAAGTTTTTTTAATTTCTTTGTTATCAAATATGTTAATTGGGTTATTATATATGACTAAATATTATGATATTAGATTATTTATTTATTTATTATATATTAATAAATATTATTTTTAATTTATATTATTTATATCCTAATAAATATTACATTATTATAATATTAATTTCTTTTAGTTAATTTTTTAATTCATTTTTTTCGGATTAATTCTTTGTATTGGAGTATTATTTTAATTTATTATCTTCTTTATATAATAAATATCATTTATTATATTATTAATTTATTTTTATTGTATAATTAATTCTTTTTAATTTTATTAGTTCCACCATAAAGTTGTCAGAAAGCAAGATCACCGATAATCTTGACGATTACTTTTAATTTATTATTTTCTTTTTAATTCTATTTTGTCGGATTAATTCTTTGTATTGGCCTCTCATCAACGATAATCGTCAAGATCAACGCCAAACACCTTCATCGGAGGTCCGATGTAAACCATACTAACTTTTTCCACCCAACATCACCTGTAGCCACCTTCGACAACCTCTTCACAATCTGTTGGAATCCTCCATATCTCACACAATGCACAACAAACTCCTATAAACATTCAAAGTGGTGGTGGTGATCGGGTGATGGTAATGGTGTTATCACAGGTGACTATTGTCATCATTGGTTAGAAAATGTTGGTGGGTTTCTGTCCGACCTTTGATGAAGATGTTTTGTGGTGTTCCCGATGATGAGAGGCAACACTTTTTCATATTCTGGCGACTTTGTTGTGAAACTAATAAAATTAAAAAGAATTAATAGTATACATTAAAAATAAAATAATAATTCAACAAAATAGTATTTGTTATATCAAGAAAATAATAAATTAAAAGTAATAATCGAATAAAAAAGAATTATTCCAAAAAAGGAAACAAAAAAACTTAACAAAAGAAATTAATAATCCAACAATGTAATATTTATTAGGATGTAAATATTATATATTAAAAATAATATTTTTTAATATATAATAATCTAATAAAAAAATCACGCCAATAAAAAATTTAACTAAAATAAATTAATAATCCAAAAAAATAATACTTATTGATATATAAATATTATACGTTAAAAATAATAATTATTCATATATAATAATCCAATTAAAAAATTTAATAACAAAGAAATTTAAAAAGTTTAATTAAAAGAAATTAATAATATTGTAAAATAGTATTTATTAATATATAAATATTAACGGAAGAGGAACCAAAAGCACAACAAAACTTGTTGAAAATGACCAAATCTACAATTTTTAAAAGGTTTAGACCTTATCCACATAAAATAAAAAACCACAGGAACCACTTTTACATTTTACCCCTCTTAACAGCAAGTGCTATGGGATTTACATTATCTTTATAGATGAGAGTGTTATGTATATCAAACAATGTGTGAGAGCCATTATAACCAAATAATTTTTTTAATCATTTGTAGGTACTTTTTATATATTTATCATATCTTTTTTATATATTTATATATATAACTAATCACATATCTTTTAACCTAATTATTTGCCTTAAATCAAATGTACAAACTTTACACATAATCAAAAGTAATTGACATGTTATCCACTTAAAAAGAAAAGGAAATGAATTACCTACATGACTTTAAATTGAAACAACTTTTATATATGCAAACCGGTTCGAATGGATACCTATCGGGTAGCATTCAAAAAAAATACGACAACTAATACCGGAACTACTAAATGCAGTTCCAAAACTTTAGAAACCGAAACTGGCATTCCAAGACAGTTCCGATTCCAAAACACAGGATCACTCTAATAATAACATACTTAGGTTTGATCCAAAACAACTTTATAATCTTTTCCATAAAAAATAACAATAAATACTTTTATTTTTAATGGAAAAGAAAAAAGAAAAATAAATATATATATATATATATATATATATATATATATATATATATATATATATATATATATATATATATATATATATATTCGTTTTAGGTTGATTTAGTCAACTAAGTATTTAAATTTCAAAAAGAATTTTGAACACAAATGAAAATATGCATCGAATAAAAAAATAAAAAAATTTTCATAACTTTTTTTTAATTGAGACAACATTGTATTTTTATTTTAAACCCAAAATAATCTATCAAAGGGTAGTTTCCAAGTCAAAAGCTACTATCTTCCAAAGCAAATTAGATTTCATGCTTAGAGTTTACATTTTCATTACATATGTGTCAAAGTTGGACACCCAGTAATACATGTTTTTTAATAAAAATAATCGTAGAAAAAAAAATTGTTCGCACCCGACGTTCGGTGCGGGTAAACGGCTAGTATATATATATATATATATATATATATATATATATATATGTGTGTGTGTGTGTGTGTGTGTGTGTGTGTGTGTGTGATTTTTATCAATATGATGTACGGTTTAAATAGCGGTTCTGTAATTATAAACCGCAAACTGCAATGCATAATACGGTTTGATAAAATTACGAACTTCACCGTAAAATTCTAAACCGTATTATGCAATGTTATTTGGTATGGTGTTGGTGGTTTATATAATTTTTTGCAAACCCCTAGCTATTGGGCTAATGGGCACTGGATGGTTGAATGTTTGATTGGTATGGTGTTGGCAGTTTATATCGTTTTATAAGCCAACTGTCAAGCATTTTAACCACGGATCTAAGTAACTTATTGTTCTTTTTATTCTGAAAAAATAATACATAAATATAAAGTACGATTCAATATAAGGTAAAAAGAAACCAGGCCCGTAGATGACTTGGGCCATATATAATCGCATATCTGATATATGTTCAAAGGCCATCCTGATTATTTATTTATAATTATATAATTATAAGCATAAATGAAAAAATCAAAAGGTTTATTGTAATATAAGATTAATGACTAGTCTAGGAAGGACAAATGATATTGTTTTTAATGTTTTACACTTTTACTTTTAATCTATTTTATAATCAAATGTTTATATCTGTATGCGGAAGTGGATGGAAAAAGTCAAACAACTGTTATATATAAAAGGTCAACTAATATTTGTCAATAGTATTTGACTTTTCTCTCCTAATAATGGTTCTAGAATACAAAAATGGATGCGTACGTATAAGAAAAGGTCATGTTGCTCATTAAATATGGATAAATATTGCATTGCGGCCGACGACCAATGGCATAGTCCCAATATTCATACCCTGCATGTGAAACATAGAAATTCCCATCAACATATGCAATTAAAAACCTAATCTTTGACACAATTGCTTATCGCTTTTCTTGATAGCAACAACATGCATGAATATTCATAAATGAGATCTTTTCGTTATGGGTATCACTTATTCGCTTGGTTGGAACGTCCCTGGGTAAATTTAAAAAGTCTCAAGTTAATTTATCGCAATATAACTGTTTTATAACCCTTCTATACACGGTGTTTCTTTCTTTTTCGTGTATAAATCATTGTTTTCATAAAATTACAAGGAAATTGTTGGAAAATTTAATAAAAATTATGTATATTTATCAAACTTTGGACACTGTTAAATATAAATATATATTGTCTATATTATTAATCCTTATGAGTTATGTTCTCATCCGTGAGAGCTACGAAACCATATAATTGTGTCCAAAACGGAAATTGAATGAATGAGATATGGATATTGAAAGTTGAGTATTTAGAATAAAATATAACAAAACAAATGGGACATGCACATGGGAATAATAAGTAAAGTTTAGGTGTAGCCATGGTAGTGTAAATACTTGCAACTTCTTTTGTATGATTTTACTACTTATGCGCGCCAAAAGGGTGGAAATTTGTAGACAAAAATCACCGACGCGACCTAACATAAAACTATGGTTTATTCTTTTAAAACATAAAGTTTATATATATATATATATATATATATATATATATATATATATATATATATATATATATATATATATAATATATATATATATATATATATATATATATATATATGTATGTATGTGTGTGTGTTTTTGTACATAAAGTATAATTAGTTTTAATTATATAATCACATATGGTAAACGATATAAAACTAACAACACCAAAATGCACACCTACACTATGTAATATTCTCCATATATTAGACTATCAGATATCTGGGATAAAATCACATATGATAATCGGATTCTATATCTTCTTTTCTAGAAACGCATTGTTCAATATTTTTTTCTCGAAGCATATTTTAGTATGCATTGTTACATGTATATATGATGCCTCTTACCATCTCAATGTATCTATTTTAGTATATATGCATCGTCAAACTTGTACATTATTACTCAACTGCTCGATGTATCTACCCTGATACTTTTGTGCATATATATTCTGGCGGGGTCCCGAAGTTTTTTTAAGGTATTATGTAACCACATTATTCCCGATATATATATATATATATATATATATATATATATATATATATATATATATATATATATATATATATATATATATATATATATATATATATATATATATATATCCTATCCCCTGTCTCTCATAATAGTATAATGAATACAACAAAAAGAGTTTAGTGATCTTTGATGGACAATGAAATCCGGAATCACCAAATATGGAATTAAGAATAGTTGGTGACTAAAATATCATTTTGAAGGCATGGCAAATTGTTTTAATTATTGTTACAATTTAAGCATGAATATTTTTGTTACATCTTCAGGTTTATAAATATGAGTTTTTTAATTATTTTTATCAACTTGTAAGCTTAAATAAACCTACAGCCCTGAATTTGTAACAACTTTTGTGAGCGTTTGAAAATCCATTTATTTTAAATAAAGGTTTGTTCATATATATTGTGGCGTTTTAATTATTGGTTTATAAACTATTGTTTTTATAAATATACTCAAAATGGCAACACATTTCAAAGCAACAATGGTTTTATGATATGAATGTGTATGTGTGATATAGTTACATTTTGTATTTTAAAAATTAAATGAAGTTTAGTTTTCTTTATATTCTATATGTAAACGAAAGAAGGTTTAAACAATAATAAGCATGAATGATTTTAAAAAGGAGTGCCCTTTACAAAAAGCTAAAAATAAAATTGCAGGAATATGCTATAAATTAATTATATATATATATATATATGTGTGAAACGGGTCGGCTTATATTATGTACGTATACATGAGATATTTTATGACATAGAAAATCGATGACTTTTCAATATGCTTATCTCATTATCTGATATGTTAGCTAGGAATATAAAAACACTATTAAAGAATCGAAGTCTATCTCTTCATTTCAAGAGACGTCACTCTTCTTTTATATCTCATATTTCCTTCTCGAAGCATATTTCGATATGCATCTTTCAACTTTTCAATACCTCTTTAATTAGTTACCACATTTTGGAATATCAAGAGAGATGAAAATGAAAACTTACTGTTGAAATTCAATGTTGATGAACTGTATTTGATTTGCGATTGTACCAAAAGCAGTATCTGAAAGAACCATGGTTGTGCCGGCCCTTGTAGACCGAGAAACCGAAGTTTGTGCTCGATCGATGATCCTGACTTGAATTGTTTGACCAGGAATGCATGTTCGCGGTATGGTGGCACTTATACACCTTACCAGATACTGCCGCCCACATGCAGCACCATTATCCCATATTCCCTCTCCGGCGGCTGCAAACAAGTTACTGGACGGAAATTGAGAAGCATCGTTTCCATAACAGGCCGAGGCTGTAAGTTCATTGTACAAAAATCAGAAACAAATCATGATAAAGCTGTCAGATACATGCACGTTTTTTAAATATTATACATGTATTGTGACGAATAAGATATAAGCTTACGTGTGTATGGTGGATTGTACATGCTAGCTGTGCCGACTTCGCAGCATACAAGCTCGAACAGAACTGAAGTTAGGAAAATATAGAGCCATGGATTAATGGGATGTTGAAGCTTTAAGTTGAACTTCAGCATATTGTCTCAGTACAACGAAAGATATTGGTGTGTGTGTCTATATATGTAAGAGATAGAAGGAAGTCAACATATTATTAAGTAGATGTCGTTACAACAAATACCAGCTACTAAACTATGCATTTAAGTATTTTATATATAGAGAGGAAAAAAGAAAATATATAAATAAAAAAGATTCTTTGATTAAGGGTGAGGAAAATTTCAAATTCAGACTATTGATTTTGATTCTTAACTTTGTTTTTACTTTTTAGAGATACAAATGAAGTATTAGACGAAAGACAAAAGTGCAGTCGGCTTTGGATTTTGTAGTTAATAAGCGTTGTGTTATTTTGAGCATTTCACAAGAATTTTTCCTTGTATTATTTACAAAGACTCTTCGTATTGAGAAAGACTATCTAGAAGCATCATGCCAGCTTGTATTTTAACCAAATTCTAAAAATAGGATTTTTTTTTTTTTCGATTTTAGGCACTAATTTCAAACCATAAACATTATTAAAATGCTAAGCGGTTATTAGAAAGCTTTCAAAGAATTATAAGACTTAAAGCATCAAGGTTTTCTCTTGTACATGCAGTTGGGAATGTGTAACGTCCGCAGATCCGGGCTAATCAAATTAGAAGCAATAAGGGTTGAAAATGACTTTTCAGCAAAATATTAATTAGAACAAATAACCTTAACCAAGTTGTAGTATATATTACAAGGTTTCCGTACATATAAAGAACGCCGAAATCCGAGTTATAACAAATAAGTTATGACCCGTTGAAGTTTCGCGACGGAACCGGCACGATACCGGGAAGCGTAAATAGTGAATTTACGACATAGCAGGATTTAGCCTTAGCAATCTAAATGAAAGTCGTAGAATATGTTAAAATAAGAACATCGATAAAAAGAACGCCCAAATCTGACTTCGTATGAAGAAGTTATGATTTTTCGAAGTTTCGAGTTAGTAGTGTATAGCCCGAAATTCGAATATTAGATCAAGCGGTTTTTAGCCAACACAACCTAAACGAGAATCGAAGATCTCGTTAAAAGTAGCATAACAAGAAAAAGATGGACGAAAACGGACGTCGGATTAAGAAGTTATGAGGATTTAACGGACCAATCCTGTCCCGACCTGTTAATAATATAAAATTTAAATTCGAGTCAAAATTAGTCATCAAAGTCTAAATGAAAGTTGTAGAGTACGTTCTCACCTTCGCGTGGATATAAAGAACGTCAAAAACGGAGCTCGTACGCGAAAGTTACGAATTTTTAAAGTTGGAAAGTGAACTTGCGAAGCTGATGCATGAAATGATGACGTGGCCGAACTCCCAGCCGTCGGATAAAATCGCTTCGGATGGTGACACCTGATGCGAGAGTTACACCCAACGTAGCGAAGAGACGCCTAGCGTCCGGAGTACTCCCCGCGTCCAAGGCCAAGTACGCCCCGCATACTTCGGTTCTTATCTGTCCGATGGAGTGCAAGACAGTTGGTCCGAGGTGGCATGCTTATCCGAGCACTACGCCCAGCGTACTCCGAGGCCTCGCTGGGTATAAAAAGGAGCGAGGGTCTCCAACATTTTCACACGAATTCTCTTTCTTTCTCTAACTTCTTTCTTTCTCTAGGGTTCCAAACCCCTCCTAAACCCTAGATAAGGCCCCTAGCACCCTAAGGAAGCCCCGAGGCTCCCGGAGTCCCGAGAAAAAGAGCCTTTTGGTTTCGAAATGTTGCTCCAATTAAGTTCCAGTTTTCGATAAAATTCGTTGTAAGTGTGCTACGCTTACGCAATTTTTAATATAGCTTTCAAATAATTATAGGAATGTTATTAGGTCCTTAAAATAATTATTTGGGCTATTATTATGAGTTATATTGAGTGTTATTAACGCTTATATAATAATAATAATAGTCAGACTAATTAAATTGTCACGGTTATCGTTAGACTAAACCCTAGTGGTATTGGTACTAGATTTATCGAAGGAAAATCGTTTTGAGAGTATCGAAGCGTTGTCCGAGTACTGAGTCACCACCTTTCAAGTGAGTGCATAGTCCCCTTCATGAACATGATTTTAATACAAGTATTGATTGAAGTATTAATTAAATGTTTATGTGCGAGTTAATTGATGTTGCCTGAAATACGTGTTAAAGAACATACCTGATTATATTTGATAATTTAGGATAAAGAGTAGAACTAAATTAATTATGAGGAATATTGGGTAGCATTTTCTTACGAGTACAAGTAAGTTATACTTAGAGAATAGAAATTTAGTATATGTCATTTATCCCGGAGAATGGATTAGACACAGTCATTGTCCCTAGTCCGAGAGTATGGATTGGACATAGTCAACTATCATTAATTCGAGGGTATGGATTAAGACATAGTCAGTTGTCCTTAGTCCGGGAGTATGGATTAAGATATAGTCATCCGTCCTTAGTCTGGGAGTATAGATTAAGACATAGTCATCCGTCCCTAGTCCGAGAGTATGGATTAGATATAATTCTTTGTCATTAATTCGAGAGTGTGGATTAGACATTCATCCCTAGTCCGAGAGTATAGATTAGGTAAAGTCGTTCATTTCTAATCCAGGAGTATGGATCAGGTAAAACGACTAATCTTAGGTCCGAGAGTATGGATAGTATCGTTGTGAGGATTGACGGGGTGGGATAAGAGTTGTTTTATATATATGGTGAAATTGTATATTTTGTGAGTTTTAAACTATATATATGATATAACATTGTGGGATTGAAATCCCTATGCACTCACCAGGTTTCCCAACCTGACAAGAGTTGTTTTATATATATGGTGAAATTGTATATTTTGTGAGTTTTAAACTATATATATGATATAACATTGTGGGATTGAAATCCCTATGCACTCACCAGGTTTTCCAACCTGACAAGAGTTGTTTTATATATATGGTGAAATTGTATATTTTGTGAGTTTTAAACTATATATATGATATAACATTGTGGGATTGAAATCCCTATGTACTCACCAGGTTTTCCAACCTGACTCACTCAGTTTATTTACATCACAGGTGTTGATATGAAGTCACATTACATTGAGAGATTAAAGAGATGTAGATCACTAGTGTAAATAAATGTAAGTTTCATTTATGCTTATGTTTCTATATTGACGATGACATCCCAAACGTTTTAACATAAATAAATTACGTTTCTTCGAAAATGTTTTTATAACGTATTTATCGTGTTTTTCTGGGAACAAATTCCACAATATTTTTACGAAAAGAAGTACGCTGATTTTTACAAAGCATAAACAAAACCGGTCTTTTCTGGCCGTGAAAAATGGGGATGTCACAGTTGGTATCAGAGCATTAGTTTAAGCGAACTAGGAATATGGATTTATTTCTAGACTTAAACTTAGAATGCTAAGCGATGATTGTGAGGTGTGAGCACTAGATTATTTTAGGGATTGTGCCTAAAATGCTTTTATGTGCTAAATGCTTGTGTCTGATATGCTGTTATTTATTCGGATCTATGGTCTATTGCCGACCGGATCCGGAAACCTTATGTGTTTAGGATTCTAAGCATTTAACTACGATATTAGAACTAGCATATAAACATTTTGGGGTGATAAGGATGTTTTAAACGTCAATCCTAAATAAAGATCTAGATTCACCATGTTCGGTGTATAGATCAAGATGGTAAGGACTCGTAGCGGAAACGTGAATGCAAATGGGAACCGAGATCAGCCCCCGGTGATTGAGCAGATATCGGTTGTGTTATCTGCTGCTGAGCCAATAACAATGGCCGGAGTGCAAGCGATGATCCAGGTGATGTTGGATCGTCAAATGGAGGAAACAAGGCATTTACTTCAACAAACTCGAGAGGAACTTACGATGCCTATTAAGCAGCCCGAGCTGAATAACGGGCAATCTGAGGAAGGGAACGACAGCAGGACTGTTGGTCAAGCTGATCCACTAGTGATTAGAAGGAACAATCAAGATGACGAAGTCGAGAGGAATGGATGCAAGTACAAGGATTTTCAGACCTGCAAGCCATCGAATTTCACTGCAAAGGAAGATCCGATCGGGGTCATGGATTGGATCTCGGAGATGGAGTTAGCTTTCATGATGTGTGGTTGCAGAGGCAAACTAAAAACAATGTTTGCGGTACACCAGTTCAGAGGAGGCGCGGTTCGTTGGTGGAACACTCTAAGGAAGACTTTAAGCCCCAATGAGCCCCTGCAACTGACATGGGCATAATTTTTGGTGCAATTCAAACGTAAGTACTGCTCAGCCTAAAATTTGCTTGAGCTAGAAAACCAATTCCTTACCTTGAAGAAAGGGAGCATGTCTATTGAGGAATACACCAACAACTTCACATAGAAGATGGAGTTCGCCTTGCGTCTTGTACCGGATGAGCTGACGAAAATCGACAAGTACGCAAAAGGACTTCCATGGGAGTACGCGGTGCGAGTGTGTCAAGCACCTACTCTGGAGGCAGCTATCTGGGCTGACAAGTCTGTTGAGGGTATGATCAAGGGAAGATCCGCCAGCAAGATTGAGGTTGGCGAGAAGAGGAAGTTTGAAGGATCTTCAAGGTCCAGCGAGAAGAGAAAATTCTCGAAGTATGAAGAAGGAACGCAATGGTGTGACAAGTGCAGAAAGAAGCACATCGGGAAATGCTCTAAAGATACGACATGCTTTAAATGCGGGAAGACTGGTCATTACGCCAGCGAATGCACAACCAAGAGAGAAGTCTGCTTTAAGTGTGGTGAAGAAGGACACTTCAAGCAAGACTGCCCAAAGAGAGAAGGGGCTACAAAGCCAAATGTTCCGCGAAAGCCAAAGGCGAGAGAATTTCAAATGATCCTTGACAAAGCAGATGACAATGCAAGGATTCAGGAGTGAAGGCTTGACATCCAAAGATCGAGTTATGAAGAGGTCGTGTAGATAGTACCTCACAATGTAGCCTGTTAGAGGCGTAGTCTAGGGTGAAATTGAACACCTATGTAATAGTTTCAAGGAATAATAAAAACCTTTGTTTTGATATTTGATGTGTTCAGCTGTTATGTGATTTTCTTGTATGGTGACTTGGAAAAACTGCGAGACAAAACTTGGGACGAGTATGAGTAGGTGTGAATGGTAGTAGAGGCCTATACTACAG